GACACCAACAGAATGCAATTTATTGACATATAGTTAGTAGTTTCTACTGCATGTAGGTACTGTTGATGAATAAAACCACCCTATACAATATATATTGGAGATGTAAAACCATCCTGAGATCCATCATTCTGATTATCAGTTCCCTTTTTTAACAACCTTACGCCCTACGCTCCGAACATGGTTCTTGGATGGCATCCATCCAAACGGAAGGACCATGTTTCATCCTCTTCGTTCGCCAACGGTCCGAGTCATCCACCGCTCCGACCCAACGCTTCCCCACCGGTCTGGCCTTCGCGACCTCCGTTCTTCGGGACTCGGGACGACCCGACAAGTCGTCCCGGGACGACTGAGTCAACTCATGTCGAACAATCTGAGTCACTGATCATGAGTTAACTAAACTCTTTGATTAACTGAGTCAACCATGTTTTTCTTTAATCCAATGAATGTGTCACTTCTGTGCAGTTTCTGAAACTTGTGGGCCGGGGGCCGCAGATAGTCTCCGATCTTTGACCTTTTCCATGTTTATAGTTAACATGTCAGTTCAGTGGTTTTGCATTGGAGATGTGTGACTTCAGTGTGAAGTCTAGGTGGTGTGTTGTTTTGAACACCGCACATGCAGCGTGTAAGGTTACTTGCGCCGGTGCTGATCTCAACACAGACTGAGCATGAATCATCCAAGCATTTGAGATCCATTCCAGTCTTCCATATTAGAATCAGTAGAAGCTTGTGCATGTCTTTCATCATCATACTTACTTTTTTTGTCCGGGTGATGAAGGACATCTTCAAAGAAGTACCCCATTACAATCCCTAAGTTACATAGACCAAGACAGACCAAGACCCGGTATGACCCGGAGGCTTGGAATCACACTATTCATCACCTCCCATCAGTTCTGTTCCGTCCGAAACCACGTCGAACTTGCTACCCCTCGAACTGCTGCGCCCAGACCCAGTGTCACACAGTTGGCCCTTTAAACCCTAGGTTGATGGACAAAGAGGGACCCCCCAGATACCTGGGATACCTGTGCACGGCCAAGTTTCGGTCTATCTGGAAAGCCCCAGCACCATCCGAAAAAAGAACCCTTGGGCCTCCAACTTCCATGACTTTCCCATTCCAACTGCCACACCACTTTCGTCGATGGCACTTTCGTCTTTCGCCGCCCTCCGGCTCCTCCGGCTAATCCGCCGCGGGGGCTCGACTTGGAGCGGAGCGGCGGCGAGGAGATGGTCTATGTGAACACCGTGGGGCCGCGCTTCGAGACCCGCGCGGAGATCCGGAGCTACCGAGGCGGATTGGGCGGCAGTCGGTTCGGTGGGAAGGGGGGTCGGTTCGGTGGGAAGGGGGTTCGAAAACGGCCGGGTTCGGCCGAAGGATTCTCGGTTTGAGAACCAGAGATGCATGGCCGTCTGCGATTTGGTTCTTTTTGTTGAAAGGGTGCTGTGCTCTTTGTTTTTGGCGTGTGTGTTCTTTGTTTTTGTCGGGTCTTATTTAAGTCTTTTGCGCGCGTTATTTTTTTGTTTCTTTTGTTGTGCATGTGCCGCACCGTTTCAACCCCGGTTTCACGAAACGATCGTTGGTCCGTCCGGTCCGGCTCGTTTCGGGATGTTGCGGCTCGCCTGTGGAGGTATCGGCCATGTGGTGGGAATGACCGCGGGGAACGAGTGGATGCTTTGCGAAGAGCTCCAGGCGCTGCCTGCCTGCCATCGATCGCACGCAGGTGGTGTGGGACGTCCCTTTTTTGAAGGGTGGTTGTGTCCAGAATCGGAAACAAAGAACCAGAAGACACAGGACAGGACAGTAGAAAGATGACATATGTATATACCAGTCCCACCTCCCCGTAGGGTGTTCGTCTTACAATTTTTTTTCCCTTCTTCACGTGAGTGACCACGGACACTGTTAGCCTATGCCTACTATGCATCTCCAGAGCACCGTGCTTCTCGTCTGTGTTGTTTTGGTACATCGGACTCGAGTGATCTATCGGCCAACATGGCGACGTCGAACGACCGGCTTTCAGGACTGGGACAGACTGGACCAGCAAGGGTTCTTTTTGTTATAAAGACCTTCTCAAAGCTTACTCACCACCCAGGTCGGGGTGGTTCATGGGACCCCGGCTCCCATGTGTGTGTTTTCCATCCAATGAACCATTCTTCGGGTGGCGGCCGGTATTTTAGCTAATGATCGGAGTCGATACTCTTTGCTCTTCTTCGCACCCGGCGGAAGGTGCCTTACTTCCTGCGGGGGAACCCAGTTGTGGAAGGCATGTCTTGAACGAAGGCATGTCTTTCTGAACAATTGGTCGCATTGAAGGACTTGGCGAAAAAACAACACGGGAAACTAGCTCTGTGATTCATCTGAACCGATCGCACATGGAAGAGACTCGTTTGCTTCTCTTCGTGGTTGGTACCATGACAGAAAGCCATTCCCCTTTTGAGGGACTTTTCTCTTGCAGATTTGGTGCTCTTCCAGTGTCGCATCCACATCCGATCACACAGCTCCTCCGGCAGAACACCCACGCAGCTCCTCCGGCAGTGTTTGAGGCTTTGTTGCTGCGACAACGCCTGCAATGGCCTGAGCAAGCATCCTGAAGGGGCACTCCAGGAGTATTTGGAGAATAAGCACCTCGTTGTGCCAAAAACAGGAGAGTTTGGGATCAGATGGTTTGGGAATGATGTTGTCCTTTTCCCTGTTGAACAATCCCCGGCCTCCTTGTACGTTTAAAAGGAGCTTCACGTTTGATCAGGCTCGCATGTTTGGGTTTTTCTCCTATACACTCTAACACGCCCAGACACGGCATGGGACTGGAAAGTTTGCCCACATTGACCCCTCTTCAACATTCTTCAACCACCCCAATGTAGGTAAATATGCCAGTCTTAGCCATATTTGTGTTTGCAAAACGCATCATCCCTCCTCAACCACCCCAATGGATCCCAGTGGTACAAATGACAGAAGATCAAATTAGTATGCCAGTCCCATTGTGTGTCATTTCTTCAACCCAGACGCTCCAAACTGCCATTTCCAATTGTTTGAATGCAGGTTCCAATCTTATATATAGTGGGAGCGGTATAGTTAGAATTTTGTCAGTTGCTCTTGGATACATCATAACATTCTTGAACTGCAACATACTGCAACCTATTTTTCATCCATTGTCTCCCGCGTTGCGCGGCCTCTCCTCTTCCATCCCTCTTCCGTCGCCCAGGCAAGTCGTTGCAGAGGTCACTGCGGCCGTGGTCTATCAACTAGTGGAGGGCCTCACCAGTGTCAGCAGCGGCTGACCCCCGTAGCAGACGGCGGACAGAGCGTCCGCATCCTGCGCACGCCTGGCGCAGCAATGTTGAAAGGACCGGAAGACACCGCCAGTGTCGGCCTCTTGCCGCGATCTGACCATTGGGGTGGGGGTTTGGTGGCCGGCGAGCGGATGGAGTCCTGGCCCTTAGCTGGGTGCTTTACATGGCTTAGATCCGTAGATCGGGTTGGACCTATCTCAAGCTACTTCAGATCGTATCCAGCATGTCCTGTTGTGTTGGCGGCTCGCACCAGGCGCTCCTATAAGCCTTTGGGGGTGGACCTGCATATGAACAACCGCCAGAACGTGCAATGACTAATCGAGTAAAGAGCGCTCGAGTATTTGAGGAATTGGGTTAAAAGCTGCAAGAGTGATAGGCCTGCAATTTTTGGATTATGTTCAGCTATGTTATGGCTAATACCTGCAAAAGCGATAGGCCCCCTTCAAAAGCAACAACCTTGTTCATGTCTTCTACTTGACAGTGCATGTTTTGGCAGATGCTCGTATGAAGAATCCAACGTCTCATGATGGTGACATTTCATAACTGATCGTAGCATTTTGGCGGGGGTCAGGGAAAACGATAGGATATCTTAGAGACACCACACACATTTCCTGTGATATTTTTGTAGAATATACCTCTTTCGGGCCTCGGTACGTAGGGAATGTCAACCTCATGGCGGCAACCCATTGCTCACACTTTGGGTGGCATGCAGAGGCACCTAAGAGGCACCTAAAATATGGCCTAACTGCCTAGTGCAGGGCCGAACATAGACATTTCTGTGCAGGGCACCCCATCATTTTTCAGCTCAGCCGCCTTGAACCAATCCCGCGCGTGGTGCACCACGCTGTCAGGGCGCTGTCATGGCCACCCTCAAGTTGACCAGGACCTGCCTGCCGATTTCCCGGGCAAAATTGGTGAGTCAAGTCTTCACTGAGAAGCTTCTTGCTTCTCAACGAAAACACACCAGTTGTATCCATGATGCATATCATGTATATCCACTCACCAGATCACGTTTTATCATGTTTTATAGCATGTTAACTGTTGAGTTTTTTGCCCCAGTTCATTCACCCTGGTCCCGTTGTGTTACCCCATTCCAACAGGACCAGCTCCTGCCCCTCGTCGCGACGCTCCAGCGCCCATCTCGCGACCAGTGGCTTCTCCTTCGTCCGCTTCGGAATGGAAGTCCGCAGCGTACGAAAAAGAATGGCGCTGAGAAGGGGTGGGTGGATGATGTTGCATTTTCCCTATGAGACAATCCCCATTTGAGAGAAAATCTGGATGAAACAAGGTGGATGCAGGAGGATCTCCAAACTGCAGTTCTGATCACATGAAAGAATTCTAAGAGTAGAGTCTAGCAAATTCCATGGGCAAATCACTGGGCTTCATCATCCTAACTGGACCTCAAACTGTGGAAGATCAATCTCCCCAAGAGAACAAAACGACTACCGTTGTCTCATGACTGCCGTGGCTATGGGTATATCCGGATGACATTTTCAGACAAACAACAGATAAAAACTAGGTATACTCAGAGGAAAAGATTACCCTACAAGTCCAAAGACTCAATAGAGCCTGGTCCTCAAAACCTCCGTGAGTAGTGTTTTGTATGAGGTCAAGCTGACCTGTACAGATCTAATTACTAAGTTTCAAGCTGTCCGTGGTCTGAGACCCCCAACTAAAAGCAGAGTTTCTCACTCCTTCATCAAGCGCAAGCCGCACAGGAAGGTGGCAAAGGTGGCGAAAGTGGCCTTCAAGGTGCTTTTTCAGAGAGAGCAGGGTTTCTCTCGGGAGCCGCAACGCGAGTTCGATGGCGACGGTACGTGTGGTGAAAATACAGCTGAGCATCGCCTTGATCTTCCTTTTTGGGGCATATCACACGTGCCGACATGTGCCGACATGTGCCGTCGTTCGACCCCAGTCACCCCCATTTAGGGGTCAAGCAAGTCGGTTTGCTGTCATCGCAGCGATGTTAGTTGTGACCTGGTGTATTTGAGGACAACGATGAGTGTCACCTGAATCACGTGGCACGCCAACACATCTCCCAGCTGACCATCGTCCTCTTCCTGTCTGGGCCCAACTTCCTCATTCGATCCACTTCTGCAGGTGCCCAGCCCTCCAGTGAACCAGTGATGAACCAGTGAACCCACAGACTTTTCGGTGCGATGCTGCTCGCCCATCAGAAAAAGCTAGAAAACACATTGCCCCTTTTGAACCACCCCAATGTACACTCCCGAGTCAACTAACATAGACCCTGACGTCCTGGCCCCGTCATTGTTAGTCTTCCAGGGTGTAGGTAAATATGGCCCATCGCGTCTTTGGTGGTGTTCTGAATTCTATGCATGCTTGGCTCGGAAAACGATCGTATGTCGACACACCAGGCGCCCAGCAAAGAGGAGCAGGCAGCTCAAGCAGCCAAGGCGCGCGCGAGGACCTGTAGATGTTTCGCTGTGGCGCGAACGGAACATTTTCCATGCATGGAATAGGTCCTTTTGACCAAGTCGGGTCGGGTGCGAGACAAGAGAGGTCCGTGAACGAGGCAAGGCATGGGGATGTCGACATCCGAATTGGTCCACTGATTCTTGAGGATCATTGCAGCGTTGTCAAACGTGCTTTGTGAACCGCAGACTGATGCTTGGTGAAACGGTTCCCGACCGTAAACGTGTTAGACGTTGGACGGACCTTGAGGGAAGCCAGAAGCATGGCTGGTTTGTAGACCAAGGGTTGTGAGTGGACTGCTAAAACCAGTTCAACTGAACTCCTTAGAGTCTTGGAAGCCCAGGTCAACCAGGTGCGTTGAGCCCACTCCTCAGGCTTCCAAGTTCGCCTCTGCAGTGGCGGCGGCCGCCAAAGCCGTGGCCGCCGCCACGGAACGGCCGCAGCCCGGCCGCAACCAGAGGTGCCGGGTGGTTGTACCATAGTTTTCAGAGTAATTAGATGGCACAATCCCCCAAGTTAGGTGGTTTACTCTCCCTGGAACTAACATGGAAGTGGAAAACCACCTGTTTGTAGTGGAAAATTGTCTTCCAAGGGGCCATTCTCCACTTCCATGTTAGTGGCAGGGAGTGTAATTTGTTTTTAATATATGAACACCCCCTCATCTACACAAGGACATATCACGGGCCCCATATAGTGGTTTCAGAGTATATTACAGTAGATGGCACAAACCCCAGGATGTCATTTAGATGGGGATCCAGCCATAGAGACCACCAAACTTCTGCCATCCACTCTCAATCCACGAATCGCTATTATAGGCTATCCCAGACACTCCATGTATGGTATATTTACCTACATTGGGGTGGTTTGGGGGGTCAATGTAGGCATTTATGGCATACATGGAGTGCCTGGGAATTCTGGGTACTAAGTTATGGGTCGGGTCATGGTTGCTTTCATTTTCTCATGAGAAGGAACTCCTCCCTCATTTCCCAGACACTCCATGGGACTGGAAGATATGCCATATACCCCTTCACTCCTTTTCAACCAGCCACCCTATACCCGTCGTGGTCCAATCCGTCTCCCTTTCCGTCGTGTCTGGCTTCCGGGATCGCTCCCCGTCCGGACCCTCCGATCTGAGGCCCTCCAGCGAGGCGCCGCAGCTGCCGCAGCTGCCGGTGTTCAGCAGTGAAGGCCGCCGCGGCGCAGAGCGACGTCCGAAGACAGGAAGCGAAGTGGGTCACACCCTGCTCCGAAAGGATTGCCTTTTCCTCTAGGAAGAGGGCGGACTGGGCTACTGAGAGTGGAGTTCACCAGGATTTTGAATGGTTTTCGCTGGGGACGATGGGGTGATTGTACTCCCATGGATAAGGAGTCAGAGTGTAGAACGCTCTGCATGTGATGTGGCGTTGCTGCTTTTGTTTCAAACTGGGACACACTGTGTGACACTTCCTGCGGGAGAATTTAGTACAATTCTGAGCCTTGTTTCACCCTGAGGCGATCATTAAAGCGTCTCAGAGCATCCAAGATGTCCAGACCAGTTGGGGGGGTCAATGTGGTGCCAGACATGGATCGTCAAAAATTTGGTGTTGCAGAACTTTCCTTTTAGATCAGACAACTGAATTTTGCAGAGCTTCTGGACCAAATGCCAACAAAAGACAACAAAAGATCGACCATTTAGATTCTAGATGTTTACAATTTGTATATATAGACTCATTGACAAGCCCCCACTTGACTCCTGCCCTCTCCCCGCACATGAAAGTCTTCCCCGAATTCGCGCTTGCCACTCATTTTCTATTGCGCAACCACACAGGGGTCGGGTGCTTCCAGTCTGCAGGTTGGTGCTTGAAGATTTCCCTTGACTGGCTTGATCCTATCGAATCCCCTCGACTGGCTTGCACGGAATGAAGACTACGTGGATACGGATGAGTCTTTGGGATTTAGCAGATCAAGTAAAATGACTGTTCCACCAATCACAGCAGTTCAAACTCTTTGTCGTTTGGCTCAAAAAGGTTGCACATTTCACCTGACCTATAATAAAACAACGGTATAACGGAACCAAGCTGGAAATCCCAGAAGAAATGACTGGTATTTTTCTTGTCACCCTTACATGTAGCCGAACAAGCAACCCTTGGATAAGCATATTCCTCTATACTTGGGAGGTGGTTTTCCGCATCACCAATGTGATCGGATAGAGAGTGGACTTGTCCAATTGGACTTGTCAAAGCTCTTCTTGGGACTCCAACTCACACTCCATGGGACTGCCATCGGACTGCCGATCGGTCCCATGGAGTCGTGTCTGGGTAAGTACCGAACAGAAAATGGGACGGTCTACAGAAGACCAGGTACGAGTGTACCAGGCACTGTACCCAGGATGTCCGAGGTACGAGTTCCGGGTCGACTCCAAGTACACGTGTGAAGTGGGTTTCTGCTTTTGGACTCTCTATAGGCTATAGGCACTAGCCTCCCCAGCTGGGTCTCACTTTGTCTCGCATTTGGTGAGACACCGTTGAACAGCCGTCGGCTTCCCCATATCGAGGTGAGCCTGCCGAACTCGCCGGCCGAACTCGTGCGGCAGCTGCGAGTGCCGGAACCGCCGCAACCGCCAGTGCCGAGGCAATTCGGGAGCATCGGTTTGGGGAGAAGTGCGGTGGCAGAGGAGCATATATATATATATATATAGGTCTAGAGTGGTGGATGGTAGGGGTGTTCATGAAGACGATGCTAAAATTTGATGTTTTTAGTGCGCACTAGTCAGTGGCACTGTTAAAATTGAGCAAGAACAGATGTTCAAGAGGCAGGGTTCAGAGTGGAAGATCCCCAACCTCTGTGATGTCAGTGTCAAAGTCTTCCTTCACTGCGTATATAGTATTATAATGTGTTATATGTAGTGTGTTTGACTAAATTTACTTGTGATTTGAATGCTAAAGGACGCTCGACTTGGTCTCAGACTGACTCAAGGAGGCCAGTGGACACCAGTGAACACCCAAGACAAAACTCACCGAGAGCCGGCCGAACGACGCCCTTCGACCTTAGCTCCGCAGGCAGCACAGGAGCCGGCCGCGCAGGTCCCAGCGCAGACAGAGGCGCCGTTGTCGGCGACACAGGCGGAGCAGCTGGAGCAGCTGCGGCAGATTCTCAGTGGGCAGGCAGAGCTGTTGGGGCACCGAATGGGAGGAGAGAACAATTTCTAGGTCCAGGTTGCTCCTGCCTATTGAACAAATGTTGAACACGAGGTGCCCAGGCATGTGCTTGAGTACCTCACTGCAACATTGGTGCACAAAAGCCTCGGCTGACTGGAGAGTCCGCTTGTTTGGGGATGTTGTTCAATGGTCACACTCCAATGTTTTGTTCGGTTCAATGATCTCTTCATGAAAGACTGCTTCAAAGGAGCTTTTGATAAAAGAGCAATCAAGTGATATATAGGGATGATGTTCGGGTGTTTGGCCACAAAAATCAGGGTGTTGGTGGCTTCTCAATGTTTGGACATGGTACCAGCCATCCTGTAGTAGTCTTGACAAGACCCTAAACTAATGATAACGTCAAAATGGTCCAGCTAGGGAAATACAGAGGTTTTTGCACAACCTCATGTCAATGTAAGGTTTTCTGGGCAAGATCTGCAGCCTGAAGAGTTCCCCATCCAGTAGATCAAAGAATTACAGATGCATTACCTCTTCAATTCATACAATATCTTCATGCATCAATGCACCTAAAAAGAGTTACAAAGGATCCAATAATCCAACACACCTTGTTTTTGGTTTCCCCACATCTTTGGGCCACAGCAATTCTGCGGTCACAAACACCCACCAACCACGGCCCTAAAGGCCGGCTCGGAGCTCCCATGGGGCCTCCTCTCGCCTCGCGCTCCAGGTCTCGGCGTCCACTGGCTCGGCGGAGAAGCCGCTGCCGCCCTGGAAGAGGCGACCGGTGCGCGGTTCGCCGCCGCGGTCGCTTCGCCGCCTCGGTCGGGCGCCGTTCGGAAGCCGGTGGCGAAAGGTGGGGGGGGGGTTCGGTGGGTTTTGACGTTGAGATTTTTTCGGGCAGGGTGAAATGATGGCGGAGAATGTATAACGAGATGAGGAAGGCACGACTCACATGACTCAGATCGTTTTGAAGAGATGGTGGCGGTAGTTGATTTCTCAAAAGGAGGTCGCATTTCTGAGGGTTTACTAATTTAATGTTTATTGAATAATTTTGAAGAATTGTGAATCCTAAGGTTCATAGAACAACATTACATTGGAGAAAAAGAACATAGATACCGCGAACGAGTGATTACTGCGTGAATCCCCGAGTTCTGGGGGACCATTTGGTGGGGGAAATGTGTCCCAAACTCTGCCCTGAACCCACAGATGGTGATATGCACCGGTTGGGAACCGGGGAATATGGTGATTTCCCGGTTCGGAATCAAATCCGATGTTTCATCCTTGAGAAACCCTGCAGAGGCCGACAGCGACGCAGAACGCGCCAAGCGACGGCGACGCCAAAACGGAGCGCCACATGCGCGATGCCACGTCGCTGCGCTGTGATGTGTTCCAGCCCGGATGTCCAGAACACCAAGAAAAATGGATGATCGATCGCAGGTTTTTAAAGGAAGTGAAACCTCAGTGCCCATGAACATGCCCATTCTGCTCAACCACCCTCTTCGGAGAGCTCGGCACCCCAAGGGGTGATGAGTGGAGCCCGGTGGTTGACGGATACCCCAGTCACCACCCATTGCACATGCACCCAAACTACCGGGCCGAAAGACTAGTCAAGAAGGCATCCGGAAACTACCTGGACCCGACTGGTACTTAGAAAATGGGACATGACCCCCCCCAAAAAAGCTACACTCCGACTCACTAACATGGAAATGGAAAACCCACTGTTTGTAGAGGAAAGTAGTCTTCCAAGAGGCCATTTTCCACTTCCATGTTAGTGAGTCAGAGTGTACTTGTACCATCTTGTACCCATTGTCCGAGGTACGAACGGGTCGACTCCAGGGATGGACACATGGAATTTGATGGTCTCTGGCCCTAACTAGCGGAACTTGTGGCGAGCGTAGATGACTGGTTTTACTGAGAACTACAAAGTTCCCTTCCCAAGCAAGCAACAACATAAATCAGTGACCTTTCGGAAGCTAACTGCACTTATCAGGCATGAAACTCTCAAGGCCCTTCAGACCTATGGCTTATCAAGGCCTCAAAGAAAACAAAAAAGAACACACACATAATGCAAAAAGAACAATTGACACTGTGTCGTTTCCAAAAGAAAACCGACCCTGCCAATCCTTTTGGGCTCGAACACCGCCGCACTCCGGGCTCCCAAGATCCGCGGTCCGCGGCAAACAAAAACAGCACGGCCGGTGCAGCCGGAGAGAGGTGCCATCCGCGGTTCGCCGTCGGATCGTCGATGGACCAACGCTGCGACAGATCCCAGACGCTCCGTGAAACCAGCCCGACTCTACTTCCGGTCCCTCAAAACCTATAGGGATTGGCGAGAAACCCCAGACCCCTCCACTATTAGTCAATCACAGCAAGCAATTTTTCGCTTGTCAAGTAGGGGTTGTTAATGGCACCTCTAAAGGATTCTAAAGGTTTGTTTTGATTATAATTTTTTGCAGGGATCCAAACGATATGTTTTTCTTGCCCACCTGCTCTTGCTTTGCAAGTTGGTAGAGCTTCGCGCTTCATCATGCGAAACAGACAACGACTGCAATCAGCAGGTGCTGCAATGTACCCTCAATGACTCAGCACCTATTATATAAGACGTGTATTAACAGAAGGTCTATGAAGGTGACTCATGACAAACATTTGCCAACTTCAGTTTCCGCCAGGAAGGAGAACCAGGTATTGTTTGTTCTTTGTTAACCTAGGCCCTGCACGGGTCCAACATAAGCACCGACATGGGGTGTGTGTCACAAGAACCGCAAAGAGAGAGAGAGAGAGAGGCGGCTGTGACCCATCATCACCATCAGAAAGGAAACGTATTATGATATATCATGATTCATGATGATCCATGAGATAGACACACCACCTCCAGCTTTATGGCGAAACCGTTCCAGTCAAGCCAACTTTGGGGTTTTTTGCTTCAGCCTTTGGTTCAGCCTCGGTTGCTTGTCGCCTTCAGTGACGGTGCAGGTTCACGAAGAAATGGAGTACACCGACTTGGAACCGGGCCTTCAGCTCCCCGGCGAGACGAAAGCGGTGAGCCGTGCATGACGAGGGTGACGGTGACTGTCTGTGGACTATAGATAAAGGGCCCATGGCCCTTCATGTCAGCAAGCATGGATGGTCTTGGAGTGCTTTCTTTTGGGCAAATATGGCCAGAAGCACAGGTTGGAGGCCATAGCTAGTAGGTTTGGAGGCCATCGCCATCGCTACTAGGGTGGAGGCCATCGCTAGTGGGTTCCTTTTTGCTATTAGGTTGGAGGCCATTATGAGGTAAAGAAGCCACTGCCTCCGCACGGCCCGAACGGCCTGTAGCGACAGAAACACATGGTAGGTCGTGGTCGTGCCGGCTCTTGGTGGAGGAACTGAGCCACAGCCAGTCTAGATGAACCAAAGTACGCGTTAAACTTGTTCATTTCAAGTTCATTCACATGAACGTACTTCACTGTTGACGTACTGAAAACTTGTCTCTAACCACATTTAAAGTAAGCACGTACTATATACTATAACTTATAATATACTGTATAATATACTTCTAGCATCTTCTAGCCTATATTGTTCAAGAACACGTTAAATTGGTGATACTGTGATTCACCCGGAATTCACCCGTGAAACACTTGTGAAACACCCGTGAAGCACCACGTGAACCGGCTGCCTGGAAGCGATGATGATTGGAGGAAGTGTACCAACAGTGATCGGAGAGCGGGTGTGCAGAGTCATGCAGTGAAAGCCGTTCTTATACTGTAAATGCATACTCGTTGAACTGGTCTTGGTCTTTTGGGTTCGCAGGGAGTTGATTGGTTGGCCAAGTTTCACTGATGTAGACTCATAAGATTAATATAATTAAATCAATTTAAATCATAAACCACACATGATGGATTGAACAAAACCGCCTTCATATATGGACACGCTTCTTTACTCTTCATCTTCCACACCTTCTCTTCAGATCCGGATCGGTCAAAAACGCCGCAACTGGTTGCGGTGGACTTCGTCGGTCCAGGTCAGTGGCCTCAGGTGGGCATGTGCTGAATTGCCAGGCCGACCGTGCGCCCTCGTTCGCTCAAACGGTTCGAACGGGACGCCGAGTCGTTCGCGAACGGTTCGTTCGGTTCGTTCGCAGAGATAGAGAGTCCGCAGGGCCGCTGGGGAAGCGGAGGAATCATTTGACTGACTCACTTGCTTAGGAAGGGAATGAAGGGTGGTTGGATCCAAAGGAATCTCTATAGACCTTGGGGTCTCATTCCCTCATTCCCTTCTAGGCACCAGTCAGTCATTCGTGAGTTGTTCCGTGCTTTTCCCTTTGGATGGGGAGCCGGTCACCAAAGAGATGTTCTTTCAAGGATCGTTCTATCTATGTTTTTGGCAGCAATTCATCTTCTGTGAGAACAAGGGTATTGATGGGAGGGCTACTATTGGAGCATTTCTCCTCATAGATTTTAATATATTTTAATTTATCTAAATTCAAAAGTAATGCTGGAAGGTTGTCTTATAGGCTACCTACGGCTAGGTGCGGGTACGCTGGTACAATGCAGCGGGTACAGTGGTACAATGCAGCGGGTACAGTGGCACAATGCAGCGGGTACAGTGGTACCATGGTGCGGTGCAAGGGGGGACAAGGGCGGTACAGTGGTGCTGGGGTAGAGTACAAAGGCTCAAAGTAAAATGCTCTCTACTGGCGTTGGTATGTCATAAGAGAGTTCAAGAGAGGATACGTGGAGGATGTTATATGCTTGGGGTGTGCAGGGAGGGTCCTGGGTGTTCATGATTGTTGCCGTTGTTGTTTGTGACCTTGAGGTACATATATGATGTACAATGTAACATGTAACATGTAAGGTGTCACATATACTTGTGTTCCTTGTTGAGTCTGGCACACCAAGTTTTGTGTGGCTCTAATTCAATAAAGGAGGCAACTTATCAAATATTGCCTTGGCTGGAGTGATGCTTAGATTGGAGGTCCGCCTACACAAGTTTCCATGAAACGACTATAACTATAATATAACTGTATACTATACACTACTACTACTACTACTACTACTCCTACTCCTGCTCCTGCTACTAAAATTACTGGAGTGGACAACTTTCTTTTGCAATCTAGTATCTACAACATCCGCATCGTGTGGAGCTGCAATTTTTTTGTGACAAGAAGAGAGGCATCAATCGTTCTTCCAGAGTTGCTTTTGCGCGCTGACCTGCCAGCCACCTGTTTCACAAATATAGGAAGGGAATCATTGGTAGCAAAAAAGGCTGCAAGTTGTATTGACTTGGCCTATCAATAACAATGATTTGAATCAATCTAATAGAAAGTAAATATCAAACGAATAGACAAATACAATTGGGGCACTAGGAAGTATATCTTTCGCAGACCTACAGTGTGAGAAACACATGCTGCTTTTGGGTTTAGTGAAGTGCTTAGCCTTATAGATGAATGGAAAGCACCAGTTCCAACACAATACTAGTCGCAATATGGGGTATTCTTTGACATTTTGTAGTTCGCTGCATAGCAACTAAACATGGAATCAGCTACATGTATTTGCTGTCTGTACCCAGCATATTGCCAATCCCTCTGGACTCTTGAGAAACTAGACACTGGACTCCAGACTTAAATTTAGTATCAGCTTCGTTTGTGCCCCACACTAGGCAACTAGCTCCTGGATTCCATTGCATTTCAACCAAACAAAAATTTGGTTGAAGTCCTGCGTGTTGTTATATGGAAGCTGCATGCAGTTGAATACCTTCAGGGGAACTAACATCATATGTTTGCGCATCCATGGCGGCCCTCCTTCAGTCAGCGCTAGCGCTCTGGCACAGTGGGGAGGATGAAAAGCGCACTGGTGGGTCAGCCCACATGAAATTCATGAGAAAGTGTGCCTGGGCTGTTCATTCGTTATATTTGTTTCATGTACTTTGATAAAGTTTTCTTGTTTGGCTGCCGTTTGCAAAACTGTTTAACTGTTAGTTTAACTTAAAGAGTGCTGGGGAACATAGAGCAGTTGTCAGTTTTCAGGCAAAGAAGTTCGCAGATTGCAACATCAAAATGGCATTCCCATTCAGCTCCTTAGTCAGTGCCAGTTGTCAGTTTTCTTTTGATGCTGTGAATCAGATTTGTCGGGGTGGTGTCAAATCACTTGAGTCCAAACATTAGTCAAACAAGGAATGGAAGTTCTTCGTCTTCAGTAGGCGGCGGATTGCTGGTGGCTCCTCGGAAAGGTGACGCTGGTGTCAAAGTTTCTGGGCGCGGGAGATACAAAACATGGACAGCTCAAGCTATGTTGGAAGCCTCGTGCTTTGGCTATTTCCTGATTGAAGTTTCCTTACCTTATTGTTTTGGGTTGATCAGCTGTTCTACTGTACTGAAAACTAGATAATCAGAGTAATCTGATTTATTGAGTTGCAACTTTGTTCCTCCACTAAGGCTCGGCAAACCAGTTGAAGTTGCACCTCAAAAAGATGCTCCATCCAAGATGCAAACAAAGACACCGTGCATGTTCTCCCTCAATTCCTTGGCTTACTGGATTAATGCATCAACATCGTTCATATCTTCAGTGACTTGGTTTCAATCTTGCAGGGACAAGGGGTCCAACTTAGACTTTAAATGTGTGTTGGTGTTATTTTATAATAAATATATATATATATAATAACTAAATTGTACATTTTCTATTGCCAGGTTTCAGTTCCTGTTTCAATGCAGAATTAAACTTTTGAAGCTGCAACTGCATTGCAAAACCTGATAGTCATGTCATCGGATTACATTAAGACCAGCACCTATGATATTCCAAACTCAAGACCTGAAGTTGCAATGTTATTGTTGTTGCGGTCAAATGTTGAAGGTGAGATCAGCGATTTGCCAGCTATTCTGGGAGCAAGTGGTTGCATCCAGTGAGCGGCTCCAGGAAGCATCTTGCCAGTTGATTTAGGCTTGGCGTATTTAAACAGGGCAGCTATAGTATTGCTATTACTTATTAAATTAACACAGCATTTGTTATTCATAAGATTCACAAGCATTCTTTGAGAAGTCCACCACATTGTTCCGGTAGACTCCAATGGACAAAAAAACTATGAAGAATAGCATTCAATCCAATGATTCAACAAACACCTGTGCAAAATACAGAGGCTGACCAACAAAGATCTAGCTTGTGCCTCACTCAGGACAAAGCTGATGTTATTGCAGTGGGCCTGGAATTCGATGAATCCAGCAGCAGAACTCGATTAAGAAGCGGCATCCTGGATATAGAAGCGACATATCCAATTTTGGTGCCTTGCGGCAAACTGGAAACACCAGGGAAGCAGCTAGAGAGCTAGTGACCTTTGAAGAAGATCGCATTTACAACTCCCAAAGTAATTTACTACAATTGAATGCAGGGTTGCAGTTGAGAAACACTGGCAGGCGTTTATCTAGATTGGCCCTAAACGAAACCTTTTGAATGTTTTTCTTGTCACACTGTTCAAATCTTGATGGCTGAGACTCAAACAAAAAAATACAAAAACTACAGCTGATGTGAAAACAATATAATGAAATGGTTTGTGTTGATTGTTGGGCTCGCTGTGCAAGAGCAAGGCTTTGTGTGAGCAAATGTCTTCTAAGGTGCAAAGATGCGAGCTGTTTGTTGGGAATGACATTCTTGAGTGGCTCAGATTGGAAGCGATTTCAAGTGTTACTCATTGTTTTTTGTAAGACCTTGTGGCAGAGATTCAACTACTTGTTCAATCTAGAGCTGGAATTAAGAACTTCCAGTCCGGAACATAGTTTTTGAACGTTTGACTAAGTTACTTGACCAACACCAAAGGCACACTACATTGCCTATCACGCCTGCAGTTCTGCAAAACACCACTGCGGAGTGCTTGTGGGAGGGCTTGCTTCGGAAACACCCTGTTGAGTTGTGGAGATTCTTAGTTGATGATTTTGGTCCAGTGTCCAGTTTTCTCTTTTTGCTTTCTGGTTTCTCCTTTAAACTTTAAACTGTATGTGTTATATATATATAATATAGGTGTTGTTTAGTTTAGTTTAGCTTAGTCATATTTAGTGTGCCATACCATGTACCAAATAGGCAGTC